AGCATTGTGAACATTGTCCCTACATAGAGCATTGTGAACATTGTCCCTACATAGAGCATTGTGAACATTGACCCTACATAGAGCATTGTGAACATTGTCCCTACATAGAGCATTGAGAACATTGATCCTACATAGAGCATTGAGAACATTGTCCCTACATAGAGCATTGTGAACATTGGTCCCTACATAGAGCATTGTGAACATTGTCCCTACATAGAGCATTGTGAACATTGACCCTACATAGAGCATTGTGAACATTGACCCTACACAGAACATTGTGAACATTGACCCTACATAGAGCATTGAGAACATTGACCCTACATAGAGCATTGTGAACATTGACCCTACATAGAGCATTGTGAACATTGATCCTACATAGAGCATTGAGAACATTGACCCTACACAGAGCATTGTGAACATTGTCCCTACATAGAGCATTGTGAACATTGACCCTACACAGAGCATTGTGAACATTGACCCTACATAGAGCATTGTGAACATTGACCCTACATAGAGCATTGTGAACATTGTCCCTACATAGAGCATTGTGAACATTGACCCTACATAGAGCATTGTGAACATTGTCCCTACATAGAGCATTGTGAACATTGTCCCTACATAGAGCATTGTGAACATTGACCCTACATAGAGCATTGTGAACATTGTCCATACATAGAGCATTGTGAGAACATTGTGACCCTACATAGAGCATTGTGAACATTGTCCCTACATAGAGCATTGTGAACATTGACCCTACATAGAGCATTGAGAACATTGACCCTACAAAGAGCATTGTGAACATTGTCCCTACATAGAGCATTGTGAACATTGGCCCTACATAGAGCATTGTGAACATTGACCCTACATAGAGCATTGTGAACATTGACCCTACATAGAGCATTGTGAACATTGACCCTACATAGAGCATTGTGAACATTGACCCCCTACACAGGCATTGTGAACATTGTCCCTACACAGAGCATTGTGAACATTGACCCTACATAGAGCATTGTGAACATTGTCCCTACATAGAGCATTGAGAACATTGTCCCTACATAGAGCATTGTGAACATTGTCCCTACATAGAGCATTGAGAACATTGTCCCTACACAGAGCATTGTGAACATTGACCCTACACAGAGCATTGTGAACATTGGCCCTACATAGAGCATTGTGAACATTGACCCTACACAGAGCATTGTGAACATTGACCCTACATAGAGCATTGTGAACATTGTCCCTACACAGAGCATTGTGAACATTGTCCCTACATAGAGCATTGTGAACATTGACCCTACACAGAGCATTGTGAACATTGCATTGAGAGCATTGTGAACATTGTCCCTACATAGAGCATTGTGAACATTGACCCTACATAGAGCATTGTGAACATTGTCCCTACATAGAGCATTGTGAACATTGTCCCTACACAGAGCATTGTGAACATTGTCCCTACATAGAGCATTGTGAACATTGGCCCTACACAGAACATTGTGAAGGTTGTCCCTACATAGAACATTGTGAACATTGTCCCAACACAGAACATTGTGAAGGTTGTCCCTACACAGAGCACAGAGACTAACATCCATGGTACCAGCATTGAACGCTTTTCTTAAATGTTCACAAAATACAATAATGATCCAAAGTCTAAATATTCAAAGATACAAGTGGATGTTTACGTCCGTACAAAGCCATGAAACCCAAATTGGTGAGTTATTAGTTACTCGAAATTAAAAGTACCCCCAGTAAAACAACGAACGAATCCTTGCCCTGTGATTTGATTGTAGTGGTGTCTACAGTGCATCTTGACACTGGTTCCACAGCTACTCAGCGAGGCAAGGGTTCCCTTTGGAACGTTCACGATATTCCCTAATTCATCAAGTGCCCTCCAGCCTACATCCAGAATCCTCTCAAGGGGTAGTAAGAGAATGCTGGTATCAAATTGTGTCTAAAATATGATTAACAGTGCTGTACGATTCCTGGTCATCACTCAGCTGGACGCGGAACACATCGGGGACATAGGCATCTTTGTCAAGGCCGGATTATGGTGTTGTAGGCATTGATGTGAGACTTTATCATACAGCACGCTAACTCGATCAGGGACCGCCCTTCTCACGGTCTAGCCCCAAATGAGACTAAGGTATCATATACATGGAGTCCCAATGGCTGGTTAATAAATAATGTTTCAATACTGATAAAACGACTGATACATATGCCATGTATCTAAACTCACTGAATTGTATTTCCTGCACTATGATTATACCATACAACCATACGCAGGTGCTGGGTACTGGAGCTTGCCATCACATTTAAACTAGTTTTGAGTTAATAAAATATTTGTTAATAAAATCTCAGATATAATCAAGTCGAATGAAAGTCTCAAGAACGCTTCATATTTGATCGAATGAAGGTTTCAGTGATCTTTCCAATATGATCTAGTAGTCTCAAAGACATTTCGTATATGATCTAGTTGAATCAAATTATCATGACATTATATATATATATATATATATGATCTGGCTGAATCAAAGTCTCATATAAGATCTAGTTGAATCAAAGTCTCAAAGACATTATGTATATGATCTAGTTGAATCAAAGTCTCATGACATTATGTATATGATCTAGTTGAATCAAAGTCTCAAAGACATTATGTATATGATCTGGTTGAATCAAAGTCTCAAAGACATTATATATATGATCTAGTTGAATCAAAGTCTCAAAGACATTATGTATATGATCTAGTTGAATCAAAGTCTCAAAGACATTATGTGTATGATCTAGTTGAATCAAAGTCTCAAAGACATTATATATATGATCTAGTTGAATCAAAGTCTCATGACATTATGTATATGATCTAGTTGAATCAAAGTCTCAAAGACATTATGTATATGATCTAGTTGAATCAAAGTCTCAAAGACATTTCATGTATAAGATCTAGTTGAATCAAAGTCTCAAAGACATTATGTATATGATGATCTAGTTGAATCAAAGTCTCAAGTCTCAGACATTATGTATATGATCTAGTTGATCTCAAAAGACATTGGTATATCAAAGTCTCAAAAAGACATTATGTATATGATCTAGTTGAATCAAAGTCTCAAAGACATTATGTATATGATCTAGTTGAATCAAAGTCTCTCAAAGATTATTATGTATATGATCTAGTTGAATCAAAGTCTCAAAGACATTATGTATAAAGAATCTATTTGAATCAAAGTCTCAAAGACATTATGTATAAGATCTAGTTGAATCAAAGTCTCATGACATTATGTATATGATCTAGTTGAATCAAAGTCTCAAAGACATTATGTATATGATCTATTTGAATCAAAGTGTGAAAGACATTATGTATATGATCTAGTTGAATCAAAGTCTCAAAGACATTTCGTATAAGATCTAGTTGAATCAAAGTCTCAAAGACATTATGTATATGATCTAGTTGAATCAAAGTCTCAAAGACATTTCGTATATGATCTAGTTGAATCAAAGTCTCAAAGACATTTCGTATATGATCTATTTGAATCAAAATGTGAAAGACATTATGTATATGATCTAGTTGAATCAAAGTCTCAAAGACATTCAAAGACATTATATATATGATCTAGTTGAATCAAAAGTCTCAAAGACATTATGTATATGATCTAGTTGAATCAAAGTCTCAAAGACATTATGTATCTAGTTGAATCAAAGTCTCAAAGACATTATGTATATGATCTAAGATTGAATCAAAGTCTCAAAGACATTATGTATATGATCTAGTTGAATCAAAGTCTCAAAGACATTATGTATATGATCTAGTTGAATCAAAGTCTCAAAGACATTATGTATATGATCTAGTTGAATCAAAGTCTCAAAGACATTATGTATATGATCTATTTGAATCAAAGTCTCAAAGACATTATGTATATGATCTAGTTGAATCAAAGTCTCAAAGACATTTCGTATATGATCTAGTTGAATCAAAGTCTCAAAGACATTATGTATATGATCTAGTTGAATCAAAGTCTCAAAGACATTTCGTATATGATCTATTTGAATCAAAGTGTCAAAGACATTATGTATATGATCTAGTTGAATCAAAGTCTCAAAGACATGTATATGATCTAGTTGAATCAAAGTCTCAAAGACATTATGTATATGATCTAGTTGAATCAAAGTCTCAAAGACATTATGTATATGATCTAGTTGAATCAAAGTCTCAAAGACATTATGTATATGATCTAGTTGAATCAAAGTCTCAAAGACATTTCGTATATGATCTAGTTGAATCAAAGTCTCAAAGACATTATGTATATGATCTAGTTGAATCAAAGTGTCAAAGACATTATGTATATGATCTAGTTGAATCAAAGTCTCATGACATTATGTATATGATCTAGTTAAATCAAAGTCTCATGACATTATATATATATGATCTTGTTGAATCAAAGTGTCCAAGACATTTTGTATATGATCTAAGTCATATCTTGCTGTCTCCAGCAGCGCTTGTGTTGAAACATGGGTTTTGACATAACGTATTCTGGATCAATGAGTCTCAGATTTCGCTGTTTTCAAAAAGTCGATATTATAATGTGTCGTGTTAGAGGACTTGTCCACTTGTGAAAGTACAACAGTGTTAATATTATAGGAGTGATTCAGTCAATATCTAGCTGGTATTATATTCCGTGGCAAAATGACAACCCAACGTCTGTGTATATGTAGACAATATACTAACAACGATACACGAACAAACACTACTTCTGCATAATAGTAATTTCTCTGTACTGCTGTAGCAGCACTACTCACACAAGTTCAGAATGTCAACACAATCAGTCTGCATTATCTGCAAAGAATTCAACTGGGTATAAAAGGTTAAATTGTGGTGACAAAAATTGTGATAATAAAATCCATGGTAGTTGTTCCGGACATCAACATACAGCCGTGGCTTACTCGGAATGCATAATCGTGAAGGATATAAATTCTTTCAAGTTACGAAATAGTGAAGTTGAATACCAACTTACCCCACTTTTCCGCTTAGGTGAGGGTCTTGCCACAGGTCTTTTGACCGGATCCTTCACAAGCTTCGCTGCCATCGCCATGTTGGTTACAATTCCTAGATTGAGGTTTTGGAGGACAGTCTTTAAAGTATAATCCGTGCTACCTGTATGGAAAGACGGTTGAAAATAACTGGATCAGGTTCACTGTTTACATAACTATGTCAAAATGTTCATTTTGTAAGTCAAGTCCTAATCAAGTCAGCATCATATTGAGGCTATTCTAAAACAAAGCACTATCAATAAATTGTAAACAGATCAACATTAGTTTGCTTGCAAAAAGTCTTCTAATTTGATCTAAGATGGATTTCCATATCTTGTATACACTGTTTGGTGGATTAGCGTTGCTGTGCAGAACACCAAAATCATAAATTCAGAGGGGATCACTTACACATGTTTCAGTATTTGCGATATTGTATATAGCCCTTATTCAGATTAAATCACGTAACACATGTTCAATATTTGCGATATTGTGTAATATGTCTTATCTCTAGATTGAACCATATAACACATGTTCAGTATTTGCGATATTGTATAATATGTCTTATCTCCAGATTGAACCATATAACACATCTTCAATATTTGCGACATTGTATAATAATATCGTATTTACACATTGAATCATATAGCACATGTTAAATATTTACGATATTGTATTTTTTTATATCATATCTCCAGACTGAACCATATAACACATGTTCAATTTCTGCGATATTGTGTCTCCAGACCGAACCATATAACACATCTTCAATATTTGCGACATTGTATAATAATATCTTATTTACAGATTTAATCATATAACACATGTTAAATATTTACGATATTGTATTTTTATATATCATATCTCCAGACTAAACCATATAACACATGTTCAATATCTGCGATATTGTGTCTCCAGACCGAACTATAAACTGACTGAGTTTAGTTTTACGCCGCGTTTAGCAATATTCCAGCAACATCACGGCGGGGGACACCAAAAATGGGTTTCACACAATGTACCCATGTGGGGATTCGAAACCGGGTCTTCGGCGTGACGAGCCAACGCTTTAACCACTTGGCTACCCCACCGCCCCCCGAACTATGTAACATATCTTCAATATTTGCGACATTGTATAATAATATCTTATTTACACATTGAATCATATAACACATGTTCAATATCTGCGATATTGTATCTCCAGATCGAACCATATAACACATCTTCAATATTTGCGACATTGTATAATAATATCTTATTTACAGATTTAATCATATAACACATGTTAAATATTTACGATATTGTATTTTTATATATCATATCTCCAGACTAAACCATATCACACATGTTCAATATCTGCGATATTGTGTCTCCAGACACTATATAACACCCGTCTCAGTATATACTGTACAACTGGACACATCTCATTTCCAGACTGAGCCACATGCCATTGCTTTAGTATGTTGGAACGTGTCCAACGTAAATGGTATAACAAATAGACAAATAGAGTAGAATGACAAAGGCTCTAGATGTTATCCTTGTATGACACAAAATGGCAAAACTCAGGCCCATATTACCTACCGTTAGGAGCAGCTGTATAATCCAGGAAATGTCTGACAAGCGTTCCGTATGACCTGGCTGATACTTCACTTACACTACAGCTAACTGTTCCAGGACAATAAGATGTGTTCAGTATATATTCATAGAACACAAGTCCTCTGAGGACTCGTCCTTGCCGTAACCCACTCATATGTACCTAGAGTGTATGCTTCGTTAAGCGTTGTACTACAGGTAAAAAATTAATGTCAGAAGTCCCTTGGTGATGAGACATAAGGTGTCAATAAAGTTTTAAGGCTACAACAATAGCGAGCACTGTACCGTGGCGTTCCGCTATAGCCAAGAACAGGATGGGTCTCAGGAGGCAATCTCCAAAGAATTACGAACTTTGAAATATTAATTAACACAGGCCCGTGTTACCATGTGGATAACAGAACAATGCTCAGAACTCCACATGTGAAGAATAATTGTTTGAACATCATCTCATTTCTTCTCATCTCCGTATTCTATACATGGCAGCCAGGGCATACATGTGTATACTCACAAAAGGAAATAATGGTACGGATGTGTAAAGGCATACACTGTCAATGATGCCAACAATGTACAACTGAAAAGACGTTGAATGTATTGACACGACAACACTAACAATTTATTTTGTTCATAAAATGAACCTACCTTGATTTATCCAGTCAAGGGAAGCCTCAGTAAGAATTTAAGGGGTCCACTGTACCAACTAAGGGTGCTAGGGTCGAGACTTACGATGTGTTACTTGATTTCAAATATATTTAGTGACGTCCTGTCAGTTGGTGTGGCCTCCTGAGTAAAGCCTTCGCTCGTCACCGAGAGTCTGGGGTTCTATTCCCCACGTGTGTAGAACGTGTGAAGCCCATTTTTTGCGTCCCCGTGAGATATTGCTGGAGTATTGCCTTAAACCTAACTCACTCTCTAGGTCAAAAGTAGTGAACACATGCTCTTCTACAGTGTGTTTCCTCATAGTTTTGTGCAGATGCTCCAAATATTTATATTTATTTTGTCAGGGTTTCAACATTCAAGGTCTTACTAAAACTGCCAGAAGGTGTTATGGTGGACAATATCTGTTTTGACATGTGCCATGTGTTTCCGTGTTTTTTTCAAGTGACCAACTGACTTGCATATGCATGTGTTCGGGACGGCTGGGCAGGATATGCTCACCTTTTCGTGCACACCTGTGTTTTGTCGCTGTTTCCGCCATGGGTATTTGTGGAGAAAAGCCAAGCACTCCAGCTGTTGGGTGTTGTCTTGCCCTGGAATGACAGATATAAAATGGTGTATAGATGTTTCATACCACTGAAACTTACGTATTACCTGCTTTGCATACTCAGTGATATCGATGAGGTGAGGTGAAATTGGGTTTTACGTTGTGCTTGAGAATATTTCGCTCATATGACGACGTGCATGCGTGTGTAATGTGTATGTGCGGCTGCTTGTACTAGCCCAGACTGAAGCTGGTTTTATAGTGCTAGCCCACTGAGATACCTCAGTGATATAACACACGCACATGCACACATATGTATTTGACTCTGAGAGAATTAGATGATTGTTTTATGACGCATGTCTTCAACTTGTGTGTGATGAAGCATTAAACAACGTTATTGCTTGGTATAATAATACAATGTACTTTATTTCACCCAGGATGAATGGTCTATCATGCATGCGACCTAATCAATATGATGAATAAAGAACTAGGTATTTTTTGCGACGAGGCATTATGTTTGTCAGTTTCTAATTACATGTTCAAGTGTATAAATACAAGTTAGCCCTAGAGGACCTGGTGTCTAGTATTTGAACAGGTTAGAGTCCAAGGTAAATTCAATACAATGGGTAAAAAGATTCGCTGTTTTTACCAAGTGGCGTTTCACTTAGAGTTAATGTAGTTAATGTCAGGTCAGAGGCAAAGTTGGGTTCATTGATGTTAATGTTTGAATGATGTTTTCTTGACGAGACTTTCTCATCTACTGGAAACCAGAAAGTACAGTAAATGTTGATGTTTAATAAAGTAGACCCAAAACTATCAATGAAATGATCGACGCGCTTGTATACCATAAACTGAAATATTTCACTTTGTACATGAACAAGAGGATATTGCAATTTGGTGCAATTGTAGCTTGGTTCTTCTAGCTACGAGTATGGAGATCCTGCGTTCATTTACATGATGACTACGGTATGAGGATATATAAACCATAATAAGTATTCTTGTGCTCTTGTTTTAATGTTTTAAACACGGTAATGTAAAACCTGTTCAATGAACAAATTATTAAATTGTCTACTTACCGAAAAGAGCACAACGTTAAAGGCTGTTTGAAAGTGCAACGTTTACAACAGTCCACATGTGTCGAAATAACAGCCTACCTATAACTATGTGCATTACTTATAAAGAACGTACGTGGGCTATAGTTAATAACACCGTACATGTTCACTTGGCAATTTATTGTTAAGTACTGACAATAGCAGTTCCTCGCATTGTGCTGTCCTGTGCAGAACATAGGCTGGGTTAACATTCTCAGTCGCCATCAATAATACTGCACGTGTTAGCTTTGTCAACTGTTGAATACAGCTCGACACCCCTCTGCCTTATTACACCAGGCTTGTCACGTAGGTATTGTCCGCTTGTTGAATATAAAGTTATGTCAGGATAATTACACATGGGCCATTCGAGTCAGTTATTAATTTATCGTCGCATCGCATCGTGATGAATATTCAGAAGGGATTCTCTGGTAATGCATTTACGTTTGTTGGATAGACCGATGTGCTGTGTGAGTGATTTGGACAACAGAATTACACGATATATACCCATGAAAAAAAAAATAGCAAAACATTTGATCTCTTTTCATATCATGACTTTGTTTGTATGATTATTTCGACCCTTCGGTTGCACCATATATTGATTTTAGATACGCACGTGCTACAATGAAAGGCGAGCATCACGTGCAAAACGTGTACCCGTCATTAAGCAAATACCAAGTTTCAGTAAAGTATTGTTGAAGTTCGATAACTTCGAACATCGATTGATTTCGTTGATGACAAGCAAATATGAGGCCTCATCAACTCACAACCGCTCTTTGAGTTATTGGTATGCGGAACACTTGCATGACACTGAAGGCTGTTGTTGGTATATGACCAAATGGTGGTCACATGAATACGTGCAAACACATAGTTGCGGGTACAGCAACGTGCAGTGAAGTTGGACAAAGTACTGTGACTATGTGTCCCAGTCCACCCAGGTATGAATGGGTACCTCGTTAGGATGAGGAAGCCACAATAACTCGGTGCGCCTAGTGACAGCAAGAGTTGTATACTCCCAAGGGAGTTGAGATTGATAACACGATGTGCCGTTGAAATAGACATCCAATGATAGAGGGACAAAATACCAGCGCCTTGAGCATGCACTAGTTGCGTGGATATGTGCGCTATATAAATATCCTATAATAATGTTTGTTGTCCATCGACTATAAGCCGATTGGCCAGATAACATCAGCAACCTAATGACGTTAAGGACCGTCTGTGTCCAGGTCGACCGAGGGAGGATACATCCCTCCTCCATTACACGGCTTCATCCGTTCATGTCAAGTGACATGTTAAACACTGCGGCTTCCACAGAAAGGTCCAAAATCGTCGAAATTGGCCGTTTATAAAGCCAGACGACGCATCAGACGTCCGCTGTTTTTCCCAGAACAGAAAACAGCACTACTAACTTGGTGTCAAGCTCGATGTCACTGGAGTTTGACGTCATGGACAAGGGTCCACTGGTCGGATGAAAGTCGATGTCTTCTGTTTACGACTGATGGCCGAATTTGTCTTTAGCCGAGCTCGTGTTTTGCACCGCAGAAAAACTGTATATGGACAAAGGACCCTGGAGCATGTCCCGTTTGTCTGGGCTTCATTGATGGTGAGGAGGTACCTCACACATGACTGTGGACTGAATGAACAACGGTATAAAAATGACAGTCTAGACACTGTTGTTGGTACCCCACTTCGATGACCATCCTGTAAACACAAGGCCGGTCTTTATGCCATTCGTGACTTCTTTCGTCAAGAGGCTGTAGCAGCTCTACCTTTGCTCGCCAGGAGTCCAGATCTCAGAATCTACCAGTAGAAAATCTTGATGTATTGGAACAAGACCTCCATGAATGGAACTCAATTATACCTGGACGTCAAATTCAACCTCTGATACAGGAAGGTCACGAATGTTATTGCAGTTGGTGGAGGTTACACCAATATTGACATTGTGGTCTTTTATTGATTCTTATTTGATTTGGGGCGGGGGGCGGTGGGGTAGCCTAGTGGTTAAAGCGTTGGCTCGTCACGCCGAAGACCCGGGTTCGATTCCCCACATGGGCACAATGTGTTAAGCCCATTTCTGGTGTCCCCCGCCGTGATATTGCTGGAATATTGCTAAAAGCGGCGTAAAACTAAACTCAGTCAGTCAGTCTTATTTGATTTCTTGAGGATTGTATGCCGGAATATTGAAATTTACCGCGCGTGTTAACGCCATACGACCATACTTATCAGCACTTCATCCAGATAGTAAGTTTCATTGAGGTTTGGATAAGTTCATTTGATATTGTTAATGGTAACAATGATACAATGAAAAATATGGGGTGTTGTGATACTTCTATTCTTGTATCTATAGATCCGGGACAGCGATGTTTACTTGGAGTACACGTAAACAAAGAAGGAATGCCAGAATTCAGGATCAGAACGATTTCATTAAAGACGTTGACAATGAGTGAAATGTACTGTTCACAAGTACCACTTTTGTTCAAGTAGATTGCTATTGGAGTATAATATTTCAACTAAATACATTTTGCATTATGTAACAAAATTTATAGTCAACTTCATTTCTAATTTTGTTGAATACATTTTCAGTTTGTTATCATTTATACGTCTATTTTTAATTTAGCTTATTAGAACCCGTGAAGATCCGGGGTAGGATAGGTCTTCAGCAACCCATGCTTGCCACAAAAGGCGACTATGCTTGTCGTAAGAGGCGACTAACGGGATCGGGTGGTCAGGCTCGCTGACTTGGTTGACACATGTCAGCGGTTCCAAACTGCGCAGAGCGATGCTCATGCTGTTGATCACTGGATTGTCTGGTCCAGACTCGATTATTTACAGACCGCCGCCATATAGCTGGTATAT